AAAAAAGTAAAGAAAAAAAAAGTAAGAAAAACAAATAAACTAAATTCAAATTTTTCCTGTTTAATATTTTTTTATCATTCTACAAAAAACTAGAAGATCCTCACCCCTTTTTCTGGAGTGCAAAATGGAATATCTTAATTTCTTTAGGCATGTGTAAATTTGTATTTACTGAACAGGTGATTATTGACCTTTTCATTAGTTCAAATTTGATAAAATTTGACAGAGAAGGGAATGTTTGAGTTATTCACTTTGGTAGGTGAATTATAAGTCAAATGGGACAAACACACAAAAAAAACAAAAAAAAAAAAAAAAAAAACTTCTCAAATTTAATTTGCAATATTTGTATATTAACTTTATCTTTGATAAGGAAACCTTTTGCATAAAACATATACAATGAAAGTGCAGGCTAGTTTTATAAGTTTGTGGAAGAATCAGCCAAAATTTAGAAATTCTGTAAAAATGATAAATTTATACAAGAGGGAGAGATGAATTTCAAATCAGTCTCATCGGGGTTTTTTTTGGGAGCAAAATAAATTAAAGTGAATTGATTTATAATTCTATGAACCACTTAATGAAAATATCAACCAGAATCAATTGAGTAATGAAGAATTTTACAAACTTTTTTTGTCATTGAAAATTTATTTTGGCATATATATAAGAATACATTTCTGCTAATTTTTGTTTACGTAGCTTCAATTCCAAGTAGCAAGAATGAGATTAGGTAGGGAAGTTAAAAAAAAAAAAAAAAAAAATTAATGTGTGTGTGTGAGTGTTTTCCATGGCAGTGACTGCAGAAATTCATAACTGCAAGCATAAAAAAGCAGTAAAACAATTTCAAAATAAAAACAATTAAGTGGAATTTTAAGTTTCGATTTGTATCATTAAATAATAAACTGAAAGTAGAATTGATAAAAGCATAATAAAGATAAACACAAAGTAGAATTTTTTTTCTGTAGCCTTTGAAAGCTGCAAACCATCCCAATAAAAAAAAAAAAATTGAGACACATGCAGTTTATTTGCCAACAAATTGTAGAACTTATCAACCAAAAGAAACTGATAATTTTTCACTTGAAAATTAGTATTATTTGCCATAAATCAACTACATTTGGTTTAATATTTTAGTTAAAGAGTAGTAATATCATCTATCAATGTAATTCTTTTTGCCAAAGAGAAAACTAACCTGTGACAAAAAACAAAAAAACCAAAAAAAACCCTGCCCAATGAGTAAACTTTTGATATTTTTATTGAATATATTGTATGCAAGAAGTTTTGAGCAAGGTCAAAGGGGTAAAAATACCATGGATTCTGCATATAATTACCCAAATTTATTTTGGCCACTCTTTCTCAGAATGAATACTGAAAGTCACTAAAACAAATTTTGTGTAAAAATTTGTAAAGTTTATTGCTGAATGAAATCATTTTTTTTTTCTTTCCTCTCCATGGCCAATAAATACTGGTTGAAAAACAGTTGGTGCTAAAAAATACATTTTTAATACAACCTCCAAATACCAGGATTTATTGTCCCAATGCAATTAAAGTGAATTCAAATGTTGACAAAAATGTGAAGTCATATTTGTGATAATGAGCTACATAAAAAAGTTTAATATAAAAGAAAACTGAACTTTTAGATGTTTAAATGATGCAAAAGTGAACCAAGTAACTGATTCAAGAAGAGAGAGAGAGAGAGAGAAAGAGTGTGTATAAAGACAAAGTTTTGCATTTTAATTTTTCTCAAATGCATGTGATCTTTCAAAATTTCAGAAGCACATTTGCTTTATTTATGACTGCCATTGAATCCCAGCAAAAGTAAAGCATGACTAAATAGACATAACTAAAAGATTTAATCTGAAATTGCCAAGAATTTGGAACAGAAAATTGTATTTATTTTATTATCTAATTTACTTAAGACAGATGCCAAGATATAAACAATGCAAGAAAAAATTAAAAAAATTTTCTTTACAATAAACAGATGTTAATTTTTCAACTATTAAGAGTCAACAAAAACAATTTTCATATAAACATCTTATATAATTATTAGTTTTACCAAAGATAATGATTAAAAATCATTATACATAATAGTAGAAAAAGCATAATTTAAAACTACATTATTTAATAATTTAATGGTTATAAAACAAATTTCAAGACTTTTTATAAGTGTGAAAATTATAGTAAAAATAATCTAATTAAATTTATAATATCAACAGAAAATTTATGTTTGATCAAATAAAAACAAGACAGTTTTAGGCTACTTTTCTGTTTAAGAAAACGGAAAAGTAACCTAAAATTATATCTACATAATATTTTTTTTAATTTTTATTACAATTTAATATCAAAAGTTTAAAAATGTTTCATCTCTGAATTTATATAAAAAAGAAAATATCCTCAAAATTCTAAAGACTAGAGATTATTTCAAACCATGTAAAACAATATTTCCTTAATCCATACATGTAAAAAAAAAAAAAAAAAAAAAAAAAAAAAAAAATCAAGTTTGTACCAAACATTTTTAGTGACTTAGAGTCAATGTTAATGAGAGTATTGCTCTTTGTGGAATCTTTGGATGTATTAATAAACATGCATTTTATGACATGTTTAAGAAAATAGACCAGACTTGAAAATTAAAAGTGACAAAAAAAAAAAAAGAAAATCCTAAGTGGTAAAATTATACAAATATTAAACAAGATTTATTTTAAATATCTGGAGAGGTAGGAAATAATCACTGAAGAGGTTTAGTTATTTTATAAGAACCAGTTTCAATATATTTACATTTGAATATCATCCATCCTATGTTGCACTTAAAAGATGGAGTTACTGTGACCAATAGGGTGAAGTTCATTATAATTCAGAATAGATAATTAACCTATGAATTTCAATACAATTATTCCTCCATTAATCTATAGACACAGACAGAAATAGTTTTAATGAAACATTTTAGTCATAAAAATAAAACTATGAGTTATAACAAATGCATAGTTTTCAAAAACCCTGTAAGAAATTATTGGCATTTTTTTTGTATACTTCCTTCACCAAATTCTATTTAACAAACACAGATATACATACACAGCCTCATGATGAAAAAGCATTTATTGTACACAAATATCCAACAGCATTCAGTGGCAAATGTTAATCACTGATCAAACATTTTGTGGTGAAAATTTCAAATAAAAATTCAGCTAATAACTATTTGTCAGGATACAAACTTATTGATCCATCTTCATTCATTCATTAATTAATTAAAAAAAAAAAAAAAAAAAAATCAATCATGAGCATTTTATAAATGTGAAAAATTTCTGGTTATCTCACTAATCAACATTTAAATAAAAATATCTATTTTTTTTTTTTATAATAAGTGAAAATAGGGTTTTTGGTATCTTGAAACTAGAAATAGTTGAAGGTATACATTACAACTAAGTATACTTAATTCTAACTGAAAACAGAAGTTTTTGTTTCCAAACTGACACACAGTTGTATACAGCATGAAAGCATGGCTAAACAAATAGTTAACACTAAGAAAAAGACCTTCTACACTATCTGGGAACAAAAACCTGAAAAAGAAAAAATAATTATATTAAATAAAAAAGATGTAATTCAAAGAGTTCAATTTTTATAATTTAATTAAAGTTAATTAACCAAACATTAAGGTAACCTGTAAAAATGCCAAAATAAATTATTAAGAACAAAATCAAGTGTTAAGCATAATTTAAATTTAGAATAAAATGTGAATTTCAGTTTATTTCAGCAGCTGAGGCTATTAATACTAAAAAGGGGAAAAAGGAGAAATTATTCTAATAAAGTCAAGTAGTACTGGCTATTAATGTGTTGCTATGTAAATGCAAATCAGGTTAAGGTATCAAAACATCATTGTTAAAATCACTGATTGTTCTATCATGACAAAACTAATACTCACAATCCATTAAACAGGAAAGTTTTGAATTTTTTTTTTTTTTTTTAAATTGGGATTATATACTCTGAGTTTTTTTTTAATAATCAATATATACCTATTACTATTAGGGATAAATTGTGAAATATTAACTCAAATGTGTAAGTTTACTTTCACATTGTAATATCAATTGGTCATTTAACTAATGTATAGAGGCAAAGGAAATCTTAGAACTTGCCTTGAGCAAGTTGTAGGATCTCCTCTCCCTCTGCCACCATAAATGTGATGCTCTTTAGGAATATAAGAAAGCCAGCTCATTGGTTATGTGATGTAACTTCATTTCTGATGGAAGTAGGTAGGCATTTCTACAATAAAACAGTTTATTAAACAATTGTAAATTGCCTATTTGCATTTATAAAACAAATCTTAAAAATAAATCACTGATAAAAATCCTCTTAATTTCTTGCATTTTAAATTAAAGTAGTTACCCAGTGCCTAAAGTTTTATGAAAGAGCCCTAAATTAAAAGCCTAATTTTAAATCTTTGTTAGGCTTATAAAACAAAGACTTAAATTATTCCACTGGTTGTTGGCAATTTATTAGTTTGAATTTTATTTGAAATTCCTTAAAAAGAAAAATATCTAATATTGCTCAGAAACTGAAATCTTTGTATAATTGTTAACACAATATTTCAGCTCTTCCTTAAAAAGAACAGCAAAAAAGAGGTTTCATTTTATTTTCTCTCTTAAGGGCTGAAAGAGATATCAAACCAAATATGCTAACAATAGCAACTACACAAAGAAATCTGAACATTCAAACAATGTTAGATATGTTAAGGATTATTGATACATTTTTAAATTAAAAAAAGGAAAAAAAAAAAAGAAAGAAAGAAGAAAGAAGAAAGAAAGAAAAAGCAAAGCAAACTTGAAATTCAAACTGATTTTTTTTTCCAAAAAAAAATATTAAAAAGAAATAAAATTGTGGGTTTTACAAAAGGAAAAATAAATATTTTGTGTCAAAGCTATATAGAACAGTTTACTACAGGAATATCCAAAGACTTTGTTGATTAAGCAATAATGCATGACTTTGGATGTTAAAAAAAATTTTTTTTTTTAGAGTGTATATTAGAGTGGGATAGAGAGGAGTTGGGAGAGAGGAAAATGATGGGAGATAATATTACACTCAGAAAAGAAGGCACATTCAATATCTGCAAATTTGATTCTATGTCAACACAGGTACTGAGGGAAGGAGGAAAAGCTCTTGTAAATGCACACCTAACACATGTGTGTGTATGTGTACACACACATATTTATATATATATATATATATATATATATATATAAATAAACATACATACATACACACATTTGTATCTTATGTTATTTTTGCTTTGAGGGAAGGTAATTTTGTGGAAGAAAAAATGTTTGGTTTTAATATGTCAATTTGACATTTTCAAATCTTATAGAAAATTAGAACTAAGTAAAATACAAAATTGTTCTAATCTTAAAACATACCTGTCTGTTTTTTGACAATGCACAATAAATAATATACATTTTCATAAACTATAAACTCTGGAATATTGCAAAACATTCCATGGTGAATAAATGGAAGAAAGAAAAAAGAAAAAAAATCCCAGATTTATGAGAGACTTGTATTTACATTTACTATGAAAACTAGTTAAGTTTCAAATATCTGTAATAGTGAAAAAGATTTTTTATTTAAATCACAGTATACAAACTCATCTAGAAACAGGAAAAAGAAAAGAAATTCTTTAATGTTTTTGTAGAAAAGAAAAAAAAATTTATTTTTAAATATATTACAGCATAGCCATACATAAAAAATATAACAATTACAAATGCATTTGATATGGAATTGAAGTGAAATTTTCATCACGATATGACAGTTATAACTTACATAGAGAAAGAGAGAAAAATCGAAAAGCTATAAGAGCACAAAAATATTAAAAAAAAAAAAATAAAAAAAATGCAGAAATTCAATTTTAAAAGGGTAAAAGAAATCAAGAGCAGAAGTAATTGAGGCCAATCCAGAATTTATTTTTTCAAAAAAAAAAAAAAAAAAAAAAAGTTACTAATTTTGAAGGTATTTATAGAGAAATTAGTATAACAAAAACACAAACTATAATATGGAAAATATATGAATTTTGTCATCAGTTATTTCTATTATTCTTTTGCTTCTATTGAAAATATTATTATTAAGTGTCTATATTACTTTGATATTATGGACTTTGTAAATAAATGAGGTATAAAAAGACCTCCCACCTATATTAGATACAAGTAGCTAGGCTTGAACCCAAACCAAATTATTTATCAAAAACCTCCAACACAACTAACAGTAATATTATTAATAATATAAGTACAAGAACAATCATAATATCCAAATAATATCCATAATAAAAGCTGTCAAGAATTTAACAACTAAAATGCAACCATCAGAAACACGAAAGAAAAAAAAAAAAAAAGCCTTATGACTCAAAATTTTGGCTAACAAATTTCAGTTTTAAAGAAACAGCAAAATGACTATTTCTTCAAACTACTGAGATCTTTAATGATGAGATCCAGACATAAGGTCTTCAAAAGAAAGCTAAGAAAGAAGTGATTTAGTAAATAAAAAAAAAAAAAATTAAAAAGATATGCATCTAACAAAAAATTCAACAATAAGAGGAGGAGAATATATGTACAAGATATTTTAATAAAAAAGAAAAAGGTTTCTTTAAAATTCACCATAACAAAGCTCCAAAGATATGCTGAAGCAATTAACCAATTAACCAGCAGCCATTTACAGATGTTGGATAAGGATTTCTGGAATAACTTCAAATTTCCAAGGTTCAAAATAATCTTGTTGCAGAAATAAGTATAAGTTTGCAACGTTTTATGACAATGAGCAATGTCTGTATATATTACAACCTAAAATTTAGACCAGATAGTTTTTTATTTTTTTTAATGCAAAATCTTATTTTTTACATTATGTGGGCATTAAACATGCAATATGCACTGGAAATAGAGAATAAAAGTTTCTCTATTTCTATTTAACAACTGCAGATGGTAAAATGCCCAATGTATTGTGAAATAAAAATAAGATGAAAAGAAAAACTAGTCACAAATGAAAAATAATGACAAGGCTTTATCTAAGAAATTTGGACAATTTAAGACTATTAAGATAATCTTAATATCATCTCTTATGAATTCAGCAAAGAGACAAAAGTTTATATTTTTTGCTTGTATTTACTTCAGTAATTTAAGTTTTCAAACAAGCTACTAGCAAGTAGGAATGAAAATTCAATGACAACCTAACATTTAGGCCTGATAAAGTGATCAGTTTGAAAGGATAGGATTGTTTGCTTAAATAGTTTTTATATGCATAAAATCTCAGAAACATTGATAGTACTATTACTTTTACTGTAATATGCAATCACATGAACATCTGCTCATTTGAAGTCTTTTGAATAATAAAACAAATTAAAATCAAGTCATTATGTTGATTAAGTTGATACTATCATTATTTTTATAAAGAGTCAAAAACTGAATTAAACTAAAATATTGCAGGCTTTTCTTTATGCATTATTCTGCCAGTTTTTTAAACATTGTGATTTAGTCTTTTCTTTGCTGCTCATCAAATCATACATTCAGCCTCTGTGTGTGTGTGTGTGTGTGTGTGTACATATATATATATGTATAAAATCAGAAAGAGAAAGTGTTGTATTTTTTAGGACATGGCAATGAGTGATTGTATTTTAGCCCTTCTAATATATAAATGCTTGATAGATTTTTAAAAAGCAATGTTGCTGCAGTATTTCAAAACTCCTTATCCTATTATTATAAAGATCTTGTATTTGTAGGCATTCTTAAGTAGTTTTCCCTCAACTAGGAATTGTGTAGATATTTTGCAAAAAAAGTGAATTAAGAAAAGAATAGAACAATTTGTTTATTAATGGATTCATGAATTAAAACAATGACCTAATTTGAAAATTGTTATGGATATTAGAAAGGAAATAGGATATTTTAAAAAATTTTTTTTTTAACTTTATTTAATTGGAGGAAAGGATTTTTTCTCCTTTGAATTGAAGTAGAGAAACAAAAAAAAAATGAAACAAATAAATAAATCATTATTTGAAGAAGCAACAATGATAGAATGTACTGAATAGTCACAAACAAGCAAAGTAGTGGCTAATAATGGTTTAGCTGGACCCTTATCTCTAGAAAGGCATAATGAAGAAAATGAGATATGTAGTGAAAAAAAGGTTTCCAATCTTTCACATACAGATACCCAAATTATTTCATAAAATTCTTCTGGTTCTCCACCATATAATACTGAGAGAAGCCTTTGTCTTATACAATTGCACTGTGCATAACAAAAACACCATAAGACATGATTTCCTTCTAATTGAAATCCCAAGGTTTAATGAGAATTTGGAGAGAGACAGAAAAAAATGGCAACCAAAACAAACAAAAAAATTAAAATAAACCTGTCGATTATTTTTAAAGGGAGTTATTAGGGTGGTTGATAGGGGAAATGGTATCATTCACGGTTGTCCATACCATTACATTACCTATACAGGAAAAGGAAAATGGAGGTAGAAGATTCTATATTGCAAAGCCACATTCCTTGTAGCACTAATATTTTTGCCCCATATCTGTGAAAGTGAAAGAGGTTCTGGTAGAGGAGTAGCAGTGGGATTCCAGATATTTGAGGGATTAGGAAAGTGAGGAGATCGAAGTCTCCAAATGATAGGTAAATATTGTTCCACCCCCAACAACTTTCCTCATTCTGTTAAGCAAGAGCTGACCTTAAAAAATGTTAATTGGTTTCTTTAAAGTCTCTTGCTTTGATGTTTTTGCCTTGGTTTATATCAGTGATGATGATAGTGGTTGAACCCAGCAGCATCAGCAAACAGATAGCAAGCCAATAATCCAGTAAAGGTGGTGGTAGAAGAGAGGTCAGTGTTGTTAATAGTAACAAAATTCCATCACCCACCCACTCCTGTGTAGATTCAAATGACGGAGAAAGATGACTGGTTTCAGAGGACCTCAATCCAGCGAACAGCACCTCGGTTGACAAGCTCTCTATTTACAAAGGTCACCTGAGAGGAAAGAAAAAAAAAAAAAAAAAAAAAGGAGAAAAAAAAAATCATCAAGGTAAGCAATTTAGAGCAAGTTTTTACTAATATGAGAGAAATATATGTATCATATAAATGATATTCACCAACTAAAATTTTCCTTATTACCTTCCTGAACATAGAAAAATCTGAGTAAGTTTCTGAAAACTATAAAAATATTACAATGTTTCAATAGAGAATTTTGTCTCGATGGTTTGTCTTTAAGTCAAAGTAAAAAGTTTGATTTCTGTCCACATATTAATATCTTGTAATTAAAGTTATCTGAAATAGCATATAAACCTAGACTCCAATTTTGCTGACTGCACAACAGTTCATAAGTCCTCAAAATCATTAGGTTTGCATGACAATTAAAATTACCAAAAAAATCTTTAATAGATTAAAAAAAACAGGTTTTATTGTTCATACCTTATTCCCATTGATCTGGTAAATATGTACATAGGGTGTGCCATCTTCAGCTCTACTCACAACCTGGGCCTGTAATATTCCATTTTCAGTTAATTCTTGTAAAATTTCTACAGCTCTTTCAGAGAAGTAATTCTCATCTGGAAATGTAAAAAGAAAATAATAAAAATAGAAAAAATTCACAAGAAATTTTCCTTAATGTCAGAAATAGTATAGAAAGTAAAAATCTTAAGCAGAGTTGTAATGGGCTCACAGAGTAAATGGCAGTAAGCATACACATATTTTTTATGTGACTTAGGGTTGCAAAGGGGTAACAATTGTCTTAAAGGAAAGATTTTGAAAAATTAATATTAAACTTTTTTTTTTTTTTTTTTTTTTAAATTAAAAAAATCTTACTTCTTCATTCTTACCTCTTAGGATATTAATGTAAACTGTTTTATCTTTATGCTGCTTTGTAAATCATTAGTGATATGAGCAGTGAAATAAAAATGTTTTGGTTGTTGAATTTTTACTTTCAAAATTTTAGCTAGAGAATGAAAGGTTAAATGATAGATGAAGTTTCTTTTGAATAAATTGTTGGTGATGGTTTCAGTATTATTCTATTAAGAAAAAAAAACCCAAAAAAAACCATAACCTTTCTGGATGGAGGCAATCATGGCTCCCCGCATTACTTTTTCTTTGTTATGTATGAATTACTATATTATCTCGAGAAATTTATTTTGACCTACAGAGAAGAGACAGACTCACACCTTTCTCCAATGTGAAAGTGAATGCAGTAGACAAAGTTAGAACTTGAACTCTGATCTTCAATTCCACTTTCTGCAATGATAACCGCTACATTGCCATACATTTACATGGCTAGTATTATCTAAGTGAAATTTCTTATAATGCCCACTCTGGCTGACAGCTGATCGTCAACTACTTAAATACTGAATGCTTCATGTTCCCAGGATAGAATTAATTTTAAATTTTATTGATATGGTCAGAAAATTTGAACAGTTCTTCAGAAACAGATTAGTTTTGTAAAGGAATCTCTTAATGGCAGAAGATGCTTTAAAGTTTTCTGCAAATTTTTCCAATACAGCATATTCAAGTGAATGACACACTTTTCAAATCACAGCCTCCAACAAAGCAGAAAAGTTAATTTCACTTTCTGTTACTTCAGTTCTTTTAAATAAATTAAAATGATTTTTAAAAAAATTGTGCCAAATTTGAATGTATGACACATTAAGAAAAGAAGGTCTCATGCTTACAAGGTTAAATCAATTTTATATCTTATTCATATGGTTATGAAATTTAATATTTCTGTGAAAACAGAAAAGGAGTTGCAATTATTTTAATGGCTGATCAAAAGAGTGCATGAGGCTGACTCCTGCTGCTAATGTGAAGGCGGTATTCCTTAAAAAAAAAAAAGCCGAAAAATTCGGGAGTGTGTATCTTGAAGATAACCAATTATTTGCTTTTTTATTGGAAAACATTGATATAAAACGTTGGATCAGTTGAAGAATTCTCCCCAGACAGATCAACTGTAAAATCTCTACCCCGACTTAACTGTAGAATCTCTTCCCAGACTGATCAACTGTAGATCTTTGAAACTTGTTAAAAATGAATGTTTTTTTTTTCTTCAATTGGTTCTTTTAGTAGAAAAAAAATTGCAGTTTTTATTTTAAATAAAGAAAAACAATAGTAAAGTAAAACCAGAAATATATGCGATTTAAAGTTTATGTCTCGAAATTTTTTACTAAACTTGCAATTTTTAAAGCTCAAAAACTGTAGAAATATCATGCTCTATTTCAATAGATTTTCCATAAAATCACTATTTTAGAATTATTATGTGAAAATAACATTCTACATTACATTTTAAATTTTTTTTTTTTTAGAGATTTTTAAACTAAACATTTTCAGAAAAATCAAATCTAGTGCATATTACAAGATTAACTTTTTATATTAGTATTACAAAATAAGAATCTTAAGTTTGTAATATAAAAAAGTTAAGTTTATTTAGATGCAAAATTGTCAAATATTACATTTTAAATTCTTCCAGAATGATTTTTAAAATATTTTAAAATATTCATTTAGGATTAACTGTAGAATAAAGCATGTCTGGGAGAAAGAGATTCAAGTAGCAGAAACACAAAAAAGATTAAAGATTTGTTTCTCTAAAAAGACAAAAACAAATTCAGAAGTGTAATTATTTAATATTGACTTTTAATGTTTATTGTTTTAAAAACTATTTTAAAACATTCTTTTTTAACCGGCTGAACTGATGGAAATAAATTGTTATTAAATATTTCTGTCCTCATTAGTTAAGTTTGATTACCATCTTTCATAACGCCGTAAGGTTAAAAAAAGTATATGCTGGCAAATAATGAGGGGTAGTTACTTTGCCTAAAAAATTAATTGTCAGTTAGTTCTCTGGAGAATAAGTTAATGTTTAATGCATGTATCGGAGGTGAACATTTATAAAATTTTAATAATTTTTAATACAAATGTTTAATGTTCAATTATTTTTATTACGACCATTACTATGGATTAAATTTTAATTTATATTGAATATAAGAATGAAATGAAAAGGGATAAGAAAAATGTATAAGAAGATAGTAAAATTCTAAAATTGAATTTAAGAAAAGATGTAAATGGGTCATTAAAGTGTCTAGCTAAGTTTGGAATAGTTAAAAAATTATCAACTTTTTTTTTTTTTTTTTTTTTTTTACAATCCCACTTTTAGCCTTGTGCGAAATTGTATCTTAGTACAATAAATAAAAATTCACTATGCCGTTAAGTATGCATCTTCCTATTTGTTTCTTTTTTATTTTTTCATTGATTAGAATGAGTAAATGGCAAAAACTGAGTGGTGCAGTTTTACCCAAGTTGAAAGCTACCAGAGAACATGAGGAAAGAAAATGTGATGCATCTTTACATGTTTTCCTACAGAATAAATATGTAGCTAAAACAAAATGCAAAGATGAGGATGCTGAATGTACATCAAAACTAGCAGGGGAGGAACATGGAGCAAATGCCAATATGGTGGAGACAAATTTAGAAATAAAAGCTGAAGAGGAATTTCCTGCAGGAATTAACGTTGTTAAAGAAATTAAAGGTGACAATGATGATATGCCAAAGGAAGAGAGCTCCAGTGCATGTGGTAAGGACAGGTATGAATATGAAAAAGGAACTGATGAAATTACTGGAAATAAAGAAATAGAACAGGCAAACACTGTGTTTGACACTTGCAGTTTCTGTTGCTACTGCTGAGAGAAGCATCTCAAAACTGAAGCTCATTAAAAATCAGTTGAGATCAAGTATGTTGCAAGATCACTTATCCAATTTGTTCCTCATTTCAATTGAACATGAAACTGTCGAGAAGAGAGACTTTGACCAAGTTATTAGTAACTTTGCTTCTGCAAAAGCTTAAAAGGTTAAAATATAATAATGTTCGTTTAGCTAATTTTTGAATTTGTTTTTCAAGTACTAATCAACAGCATGAAGGATATTTCATTTATATTTTTCCTCAAAAAAAAAAATAAAAAAATAAAATAAAATAAATAAATAAAATAAATAAATAATAATTATGAATATGGGCCCCAGGCAGCTTTTTGCCTTGGTACGCCCCTGTCTGGAGGTGAGTATGTTCTTAATTACTATTAACCAAGTGTCAACACTGTATTGCAACAAAAAGTAACAAGGATAAAACTTAGTTAAAAAAATATATCAGTAGATGATTTGGCGTAAGTGGAAAGAATACTCACTTTGTAGAGGAGTGATATTGGCCAAATAAACTTCAATGGCTTGGAATGGTAATGTCATGAAGTCACTCCTTAAAAAAAAAAAAAAAAAAATTATTGTTATAAATTTTCACTCAAAAATATTTCAAAATTCTAGATCAGAATTACTTTACTTTTTTTTTTTAAGCCGATTATTCACAAATGTTTGGTAGAAAGTTTAACAATTGTAGAAGGTAAAATGCTCAGCGCATTGTGAAATAAAAATAAGATGGAAAGGAAACCTCATCAAAAAATGAAAAGTAATGACAAGGCTTCATTTTGTGAAAAGTGTGAAAAATGTTAGTATCAAATTCTAAGAAATAATTTTGCTTTAATAAACAAAGCCAGGAAATTTTATTTTTTCTGACAATTTTTGGTTAAAAACTTAAAACCATTAATAGACTAAATTGAATTATATTAAAGAAAATTTAAAAAATAATAAACATGGGAAATTTAGTCATGAAAACTTTTTGATAAAAACTTTAAAACCTTTTTGATTGTGAATAGTTGGAAGACGCCAATATTCTTTACATAGAAAATGAATACATTGAGTACAATCCTTAAAGTATGATTACTTCAAGCGTGAAAATTAATAAGAATATTTCCATATAAAATTATTCAAGGTAATTTAACCTAAAATGTTGAAATAAAGTTTTGGTTTTCTAAAAATTACAGTAAAGAAAAAAAAAATCATTTTACACCAAGCAAGGGAGTAAAACTACTAAGACACAAGGGGGTTACTGAGCATAAAAGAATAAGAAAAAGAGAAACAACATTAAGGAGCAAGAACAATAAAAGAAGAGGAATCAAGAAGACAGTAGATAATGATTGATACTGCATTTAAAATTTTGAAGATCCAAATTGGCTGGATTGAAGCTGGAAGAGTTCCACAAGTGAGAAGGGCAAGAAAAGAAACTTGCCATAGAACTTATGATTGCATCTAGCCAATTCAACTGCAAATTGAGGAGACCTAGTTGCCAATCTAGTATTGAAAGTATTTATTAAAAAGACACAGTGGGAAAGTGACTGAAATCAAGATGTCAGGTCAGAACCAATAACATTGCAGAGTCTTCTTTGGGTTTTATCAAGAATCATTAAATATATAGCAGGAGCACCTGACCATATATGGCAGCAATACTAAATGCGTGGATGAATGGTAGACTTATAAATATCTAAGATAGATTCTGTAGAGAAAAATTGTCTAACACAACACAGTGAACCAACTTTCCTAGCAGCAGACTGAGCAATTGATTCAATATAATCTTTTCATTTCATCTCAGCAGAGAATTTTAGCCAGAGTAGGTACAATGAGTCACTTTCCTGGAGGTGAGCATCAGCTATACTGATAGAAGTTGGAAAAGGATCTCTCAGATAATTAATAGACAGAAGTTTTGTTTTGGATGCATTAAAATTAACAAGCCATTCCTTCTCCCAGTTAACAGATTTGTTTTTGAACTTTTCCATTTTTAAAACTTAAATTAAAAAGTTAATACTATTGTTACAGCCCATCCTGCTTGCATTTAAAACAAGTTTTGAAGTAGCAGCTGCAGGGTGGAGTAATCAGAGTTTAAAAATGTAATATATCAAAATTTCCCTAAATATTTTAATGGTGATTTTATTATTCTACTAGCAACTATAAATGATCAAAGTTATTTTAAAAAAAAAAGAAAAAAAAAGAATATTCCAGATGGTAACGGAGTTACTGTGTGGATTTTATCAGTAAGTGAATCTATAATTGTTGACTGGTTGGAATGAGAATTAACTTGAGAAATTGACATGAAAAACTGAAATAGTCAAGGGAGGTAATTTACTAGCATACCAGAAGTAGCCTGGAATCTGGTTTTTCTAGTTGGTTTTTAGAAAAATTAAAAGCATTTAATTACAATAAAATTAATTAGTACCTGAAATTGTCTTGGTTGAACTGACTTAACAGGGTTTTAACTAGTAGGACTGATTGAAACAAAAAGCACCTACCTCTCATCATGACTGGAAAAAATGACAGTTGAGAAACCAATTTACTATAAATAATTTGAATCTGGGATAAAATTCAGTAGAAGAGTTTTTTTTGCTATCTAACTATCATTGTCTATTGAGTCAAGAAACATCAGACCCCATGCAATGAACATCTTTGCCACCTACTACTCTTTTTTGTTGGACCATAAAGATTTTTTTAGCACCCCCTTGTATAGATTTGTTCTTGGATATATGATTAGGAATAGATACAAGAAATCTTACCGTATTTGTCGGAGCAGGTTTCCAGGGACTTGACTGAAGCCACCATAATCAACAAATTTTATTTCACATTCATCAGTTTCCTCAGATACAGCAACAATAACAGCTCGGTACCAACCTTCCATGACAGGTGCTGCACATATCACACCAACTGGGAAGAAAGAAAGAAAGAAAGAATTAAAATTTTAAAAAGATAAACAATTTTCTATATAATACGAAGATTGGTAATGAACGATAATACTTAGGACAAGAACAACACATATAAGATTTGCCAGCGGCATGTAGAAGTAGTAATCAACTGCTAGAAGTGAGTCAAGTGAATTCCACAATGTATCGCCAACTGCAGACCAACACATACAGTACTGTATTTATGGGAATGGTGGCATACCCATTATCATCCATAGGTATGCTACAACAAAACCATGAAAAGTGCTGTAAATAATCAATGTGAAGTATGAAGTTAGTTAAATGTAATTATAAACTACATTTACTTACCTATGAGAGGTCGTGGCAACTGAGGTACCATTCCTGGTTGAGAATAACATCTGTTCATAAATTGATTAAGGCGATCAAGAGCTGCATAGGTAGGATGTGTGGGTAGTTGAAGAAATAAGTGGCCCCCATCCACTAGGCTAGCAACTAAGATGTCGATAGACACACCTTCAGGGGGGAGACTTAACTACAAGAGGAAAATTTGATTGAGATATAAAAAAATATTAAAAATTAGGTCTTTTTTGTTTTTTTAAATTTATAAGTTAAAAAATATCTATTATTGTGATCATAATGTAGCATATGTAAAAATCTTATTTTAAAAATCTGTCGATTTATAAATTAAAATTATTTAATCCTAACAAAAACTTCAGTTTATTAATTCAGGTAATATATGCTGATGCCAATAAAATACAATTGCAAATAATATTAAGCCGTATACAAAGGGAGATAACTCAAATATAAAACGAAAAAGTGATGAATCCTATTAATCAAAGCTAAAATGAATGATAAAAATCAATAGAAACCTTTATACCTCAATTCAGTATTTAATGAATTACTGAACACAGCCAATTAACAAATTAAAGAATAAAAGCTATAGATACATTTAACCACACCCAAATTTTAAACTGATGACATCCAGTAAGTACAATAAGTGACCACAAAATATTTGTATACATAATAAAAAGGAACATGTCTTTTTTTTTTTTAAAATCTAAGATTTTCAGCATTGAATAGTTAAGTTTGTTTTTTGAAACCTTTGCCAGCTTTACAATTTCATGGTAATGTCTTTAATTGAATTATATTTATGCTTTAACTGTAATAAAGAGAGTTACATTGTGGATTCAAATTTTAAAGTTACCTGAATCAAGTCTGGTACAACCATAGGGCTGCTTGCCAACTGAGTAGAATCTGTGATTGCTGTAAGGTCAACATTAGGATAGATGGAATTGGGGAATTTTTGGCTTATGCATTTTAGTGCTTCATCAATTTCTTCTTGTGTACCTAGGGATAAAAAAAAAAATCTTCATGCATCATATAAAAAAAGTTTTCAAAAGTTAATATTTTTTTTTACTTGCTTTTAATAAAGATGTTATTTTAATATTCCCCATGTATAATTTACCAGTTTTATTGGAAGTAATTTAAGAGAACTTTGAGTTAGCTGAAATGTAATATTTAACAAAGGAAAAAAAAGTTTTAATTATTGCATCCTGTAAAATATTTGATCTGGTGATCAAATATTTTACAGGGTGTGATAGGTAACCTGTCACAGTTTTATATTTTTAATTTTGTGCATGCACTTTGTTTTTGATTTTGTCAACTGCACAGTATAGCAGTGTCAGTTGGGCACTGTCTGTGAGAACAAGAGTACTGTTGCAATTCACACTGCCAGAAATTTATAAACAACATGCTGTACTCCTAGAAATTCACTCCACAAGCTCCAATACAAACATTTCAGGGTATTTGGGTGTCAATCTGAGAACAGTGCAGAGGATTCAGAAAGAGTTGGATGGTGATTATGAACGTACGGCAGCTAGGAAAGCTCCCTTTGATCGTTCTGATAAGAAAAGAACTCCTGAATTTGTTGGTGATGGCATGAGATTCAACACGGAGGCCTACATCAAGTGCCTTGAGGCGGTAGTGCTGCCCTGATTAAAGAGAGTGTCTACTGGAAGGCCCTATATCTGGTAACAGGACTCTACACCATGCCACACAAGCAGGAAAACCCAGTCATAGCTGTCTGACAATTTCTACAACCACACCACCCCTTACATTTGACCACCTAACTCCCCAGATTCCAACCCCCTTGATTATTCTGTGTGGGGTGCAGTTGTTTGAGAGACCAACAAAACTCCTTGTAACACCAAAGATGAACTGAAGGCAAGGATTATGGCAACATTCACCAAATTAAACAAGGAGACCTTCCAGAAGAATTGCAGGAGATTCTGAAGTTGTCTGGAGGCTGTGGTTGAAGCCAATGGGGATTTTATTGAATAAATTTACTCCTTAGTATTTAAAGTTATTTTTTTTGTGTAATTTTGGTAAATATATCTGATAAAATGAGATGTCAGTGTTATTTATTTTCATTTTTGCATAATTTAGACAATTTATCCATTGCATCCTGTATGAACAAATTACAGATCTGTTTTTAGATATCATAGTACAAATTCTATTTCGTAATCTGCATTTTAGTCAAAACTATCATGAATAGTTACTTACTGTTGATCAATTAATGTGTTTATCAGTTGTTGGGTAGTAATTGGTAACGACTCAAACACAGATCACTTCATTAATTGATCAGCATGTCATACAACTGCTTGCCTAAACTGTTTCCATGCTTTATGAGATTAGCTAAGAAATAAGTAATTAAAACAACTTAATCAGAAGTAAACAGCAGATTTAAAAGTTTATACTGCTTTCATGAAACCATTATGCACTGAAGTGCTTCTGAGCAACAACACTATCTTGGTTAGTTTTAAAGAAGGTGATAGAATAAATGGTTATAATAAAGAGCTCTTTTGTATACAACAAGAATTTATTTATCACCTTTTTACAATTCCAAGTCTACACCATTATATCCACTTCAAGTTAAAGTTGTTGCATCAATAAAAATACAATAACATGAACTTAGCAACAGTAAGTGATGGAGTGAGTATCAAATTATTATTTTTAAACTGTTTGCCTTAATGTACTGAAATGGAGGGCTAGACTCAAGAGCTATTGATAAATGACTGTCACTTCAGAAATGAGTTCATATACACAATACTCAACTTTACCGTTTGAAAATTTAACAACCAGATATTGAGAGTTCTATGGTAATTTTAAAAGGCTGTAAGCAAGAGTTTGTTTTTCTTTCTAGATCATAATTTGTTATACACGAGTTCCTCCCCTTCCAAGCTTGTACATATTTGAAGAAAGCAAAGAAATATTTAAATATTTAGAAGATCTAAATATCACAGATTTTGTTAATGACCAAGTGCTTTTTTTGAGTATATAATTCAAGTTTCTGTTCATTCAAAGGCAGTCACCTTTAGGAAGTCTATTGTTTTGTAGTGGGATATATAGACAATATAATGGATATCAGTAGTAACAGTGAGCCAAGTTCAAATCCCAGTCTAGTCTGTTACATTTACTTTCACACAAATACCTTTAGGAAAGGCACAAATCTGTCTTCTCTCAGTTGTATGTTAAATAGCAGGGTAGACCAGGCTTTCTAGCATTGGGTGGCAACTAGTCTAAGAGAAGGAAAACTGAATCTCAAACCATGGAGAAAGCAACAGGAAACCATTCCATGAGGTTTCTCAAGAATGCATGGCAAGTCACAGATAATAAAGAAAAGGAATCTGTGAAAAATCATGATCACTTACATCCTGAAGAACATGACATTTTAAAGTTAGAGCTTTGTAACCTATTTTACTTTGATAGAACACTAATATCAAGAAAAAAAAATTAACTGGAAAGCACATACTTCTGCCAACACCATAGTCACTAAAAACTGAATGAAAATCAGTTCAGATTTATATTAGGTGTGGAGGGGGTGACAACCATGTAATTTGTTCTTTCACATGACATATTTCAGTCAAGCTCAAATGGAACTATGGGTGGTGTGATGGATAGCAACTCAGAAAGAGAAATAAGAGAATCGAGTTCAAATTCCAGTCAAGTTCATTACATTTGCTTATGTGCAAATACCATTGGGGAAAAAAAATATGAATCCATTTACTCTAGTTATGTTTTAAGTAGTAGGGTGGACTGGGCTCTTTAGTCTTGGTTGGTAACCAATCCAGAAAGACAACTCTAAATTCAAAACCTAAGGAGGGTTGTCTGGAAACATTGTGGCACACTATGTACTCTGTTTTGTGTATTTGGTTCTTACAAAAAGTTAGTTCTGCACAAGCATTCACCACTATAATCAAATCATGTGAGGGTAGTCATATAAATAAATAAAAAAAAAAAAAAAAAAGAAGTAAAAAAGAAAAAAGACCTGTTGGATCCTCATGTGTTGAAAACTATGAGAGAGTTCATTATATATATATATATATATATATATATATATATCTCTCAAACTAAAAAAAAAAGAAAAGTTGTTTGTGTTCCTAAATTTTATTTATTGTTCCCTGGTACATTTTTCAAAAAAAAAAAGAGTCAGTGAATTAGGGGGGGGGGATTGAATTTTTGCAGATTGTTTGGATAAAAATGACTGAATAGATAATCTCTGTACAACTTTGTTGACAAAAGGCAATAAGGTATAAAGCTAGTTATGAAGCAAAACAAAAAAATTAATAAAAATTTCAACTTTATTATCTAGTTTTTTTTTTCTTTTATTTGTTAAAATATTTACAGAGTAAATTGTTTCAACTACAAGTCCTTGTTGACCTAACAGTGATTCATTAAAAATTTCTTTCTTGGCACAGTAATAATCTGGGTAATTGCTAACACAAAAGCAGCTTCATTTAACAAACAAAAAATACCATTAACATGTTCTCTCAATAGCACTCATTATACTGTAACCATAATTTACTTTTATTTAACAATGGTTTTTGTTAATCAATTGTTACCACTTTTTGGCTGATAATCAATTGACAAACATCAGTAGATGTGTTGCTTCATAGTTCACCTATATTCATTGGAAATTATTGGGTAGAGGAACGTTTAGTTCTTTAGGAAAATTAAAACTTATGTGTGAAGTTCCATTTTTCTGCATTAAAATACCAGGCTTATAGCATTAAAACCAATTAATTAAAGCAGATGTGAAAAAAATTATGAAAAATGGTAATATCAAGCAGAAATCAATGAAAGAACCAATTAATAATCTTAATTAAAACTCATATGTGAATAGCAGAAACAGAACCAGTAGGGATTGAATGCTGATTTAACATTTCAGGATTGAGTAAATCCAGTATAACTAAGAGTATAACCAATCCTTGTCAAGCCTGTTGTTGACATAATAAATCATTTCATGGATAAAATCCGTCAACCTAAATGGAGATGTTTACATTTTATCCTATTCGGCTAATTCTACACCAAATTATACTGGAAGGGCCATGTGCCATTTGTCAGCATTAGAGGAAGCTGGTTTTCAGACAATGAAAGAATATTGGGAACTTTAAGATTAATTGCAAGAAGGCAAATTGTCTATTTAAGGAACACATGTTGAATAAGGGAATAGGCCATTGATTGCTGTAAAGGTCTATTTGTTGACCAGACTGTAAATGAATGAACACAGACAATTAGTATACTGTAGTATTGTATCTGCATAAGAGAATGCTACAAGCTTCAGTATACTTTCCTAAATAGTCATCCTTATATAATAAACAAGTTGTTGAACACTAAACGGGCATTTGGTCATTATTGATTGTGCATCTAATAAGATAATTTATTTCAATCAAAGAATCCTTCATGTCACAAATTCACAGACACACAACAAATTAGACAATCTGTCAATGTGAGGGCTATATAGACCGAACTATCACTATCAAGTACATGTAAAATAAATGATAACTGCAGTTCTGCATAAGGGCATAAAGTAAAATGCCTGATCACCTGCCAAGCATCCACTAAAGATATTTTTGTAAGCACAAGGCTAACTGCTAAAGAAAAAAATATTTGTTTACCAGAGATAAACAGCCCCCAAGACAACCAAGATGGAACTTAAAGCTATTACTTTTTAGCATAGAAGTACCTTGTATATGGTTATCTATCAGAACTTCCTGTAAAACACTTACTATACAAGTACTGTAGTCTATTTTAAATGATTTTAATGTCTGTTAATGTCTATATAGGAAATTGATAAAGAACATGCCTCCTAAGATAAAATATGCTTTAAGTATGAATATAGTTTTATAGCATGCAGTACCAAATAGTGATTTGGTTATGAATTATACTTTTGGCATGCAGAAAGGTGCAATATCTTGCTCCAGAGACCTAAGGAGAAGAAGAAAAAAAAAACTGCTTTCTCATGATAGTTTCTATAATTGACATTCAACCATAGCACTATTTGGCAATTGTTATTTATAAGGCTGCAGATAAGACATTATCTTTCCTTTTCTTTGGAAAGGAGCAATAAAAGAATGAATAATATGTTTACCTTCAATAGAACAGATTTGATGATTGGGTGTATAGGGGCTGGGCTGTAAGGAAACAGAGGCACCTGATCGTTCCTTGATGTGAATTATGTTTTTTCCTTGGCGTCCTATCAATCGGCCACATAACTCTGATGGGAAGTAGAATTCATACAGTGTACTTGATTTGGTCTTCACAGCTATTTTATTAATATCAAATGATTTCTGAAAAGACAATGTGAAAAGTATATTTTTATTATTATAAAGAAAGAAAAAAAGAAAGTGAAACAAGACTACTCCATTTTTAGAAAAAAAAAATAAAAATAAAAAAAAACTTGTGATTGTTGGCTAATCTAGAATGGAGATGCACCAACTGTTTTATATATAAAAAAAAAAAAACAACAAAAAAAACATTAATATAATTTTTATTTTACAAATCAGCAATATATATTACCTCAAATATAACATTTAAGAGCTGTATTATTTAGAATATTTATATTTTATAGTAAACAAAAATATATTTTAAAATATATATTCAGTGTTTACAATTTTTTTTATTCCACTGAAAAAAATAAACTAAATAGATTTAGATAAGAAACATATACAGGTTTCCCTTAATGCAAGTAATCCTCTGATGTTTTTTCACAGATTGAAATGTTAAATGCAACAATGGTAAAAATTGTAATTGGTTCATGACAGTGTGAGTAACTCAAAATATTAAAGAACAGCTACTCTTGAAAGTAGATAATATGACTTTTGGGAAAAAATTAATAAACATGATTAAGTACAGTAGTTTTAGCAATGTTTACTTTTAAGTGATGAGTTGTTTCAACAATTTTAGCCTTTTTTTTTCTTTTTTTAGCATAACAATAACAAGCAAGTTAATTCTCTTGGTCACTCTAAATTACACAGTATTTAATTGTATTCTGCAAGTGTAATTTGCTTTGGAACTTTCTCTTCATTGCATTGAATATTTTGTTTACTTGCTTTATATGCATGCTGTGATTTCAAAATCATTACTAAAGTGAATCCATTAATTCAAACATTTTCTCAACACTTTAAAAACAAAGTTTTTTTTTTTTTTTTTCCAATAACAACAATTTCAACCACAAAAATCATTGCCACATTCAGGCAAAATGTTTTTATAAATAGTCCCAATACAATTAGATACTATTCCTTTTCAGGATTTGTTGTTCTGATTGTAAGTTGAATAATTTTTTTCAAAATTTGTAAAAAGTAATAGTATGACCACTGTGGCCTCAAATGTCTGAGAAAGCTTTTCTAAGAAAATAGAAATTAAAAGTTGCAAGGGAATTCTAGCCCATAGTTTGAAACAGTGAAGTCATATTTGGAGGCAAAAAAGGTTAAACAGCACATTATAACACATTGTTATTAAGTTAGGATAGCTAAGCACATTATCAAGCAAGTAAAAGAGTTCTGAAGGAAATTGTGTCTTAGAATGAAATTTCAATTAACAGAACTTTAACCAGTTTTCAAATTGAATTTGGACAACCTGTCCTTTTTTTTTTTTTTTTATTCACTCATCAAACTGGTAAAAATTGTTGTATCCTTTGCAAAATTTGATGAAAATCATTTTCCTCAATCATTTTCTGTAATTAAGCATGAAATCTGGACATATCTTCATTGGCACTCACAGTTTCTGTTAATATTTTTCATTCCTTCTGTAGATTTAAAGCTTTCAAAACCAGCCCTTATCTTGCTGTGAATATTTTCCTTTTTTTCCATTTGCAAAAATAGGCTAAGAGCTTTAGTCATAATATTATTGGTACTATCAGGTGTTTGTTAATCAGGGTAACCTTAAGAGATTTTTTTCTGAATCCTTTATATAATCTACCAGAGTTGACTATTCTCTTTAGTATTGCTTAGTTATTGCTTGCCCTGTCTTCAATAAGACTGAGTTTGTACTACCTGGCCCAAGGATTGAACTGACAATCACTATGCAATGAAATTAATTAGGTTATCATCCCAGAGAGAGAAAAGAAAAATATAACTCGGCCATCTAATGTAATTCTACATTTATCACTAAAAATTGAGGAATTTTTATATACTTCTTTGCCCAAATTATACATTTGTCTGATGTTTACTATAGCTAAAGGCATGAAAGTAAACAATGTTCTTAATATTTTCCATATTTTGTTTATATTCAGCACTTCAAATATTTGTCTCAAATCTTTTTGTGACATTCTTGCCAATATTTTTAATTTCATTTATGAATGATATATTTAACTCCCAAATATCATGTTCCCATCTCTTAATATCATATTCCTCTTGACATTATATCTTTTTTACAAGCCATGGAAATCTTTAAATATCAATAAGCATATTATATGTATTTATAATATGATGAACAACACAATCTGCATAAAAGCTCACAGCAAGTTGGTTAATACCAATTTTATCGCTAAAATATTTACTTGCATAATAAAAGCTGACGGTATACAAATAACTATTAGTTTGTAACATCAATACTAAAAACCAATATAGTAGACCACTTGAAGAGACAGAAAAAAAAGGATTAAAAAGCATGAGGTTACTTGTTAAAGGCCACTCTAAAAGTGTAAGCTTAAATTTTGAAGAGGTTAGAAGTCATTTGAGAGATCAAGAGGTTTATGGTGTAGTACTTGAAACAGTAAGATTTTCTTAAAGAAAAGAAAAATGATGTGATCTGAATCAGTGTTTTGAACTTTGAAATAAAAATGAAATCATTTTGGGGTCTATTAAAATAATGAATTGAATATTTTGGATTTTTTTTTATTTAACCACTTGGACAGAGAAGTTATTTTAATTATTTTGAAACTGAAATTATTTAATTTAGGGACAATTGTCACAAAATATGGAGAAATTGTACCATATTTTATTTGTTACCTTTACTAATGAGAAGAAATATTATCTTTTATAACTTTGCATAAGGCTAAATTTTGTTTGTGTCAATACCTTAAATCAATAGAACAGCCTGCATCATTAAACAATCAATTTGAATTTCTGAGATTCCATGTGTTTTTGTCAAAAGTTTCTTTTAATCTGTGTTTGTAGAGAGAATTTATATTTGCCTTTTCAAAATTCAATCCTAAGTTAGCAGAAAGATGTATTTACAAAACATTTTAGAAAACCTAAAATAAATGTAATTTTGGTGTCTGGAAATGTTTTTTTTAAAGAAGCAGTCAAAATAATTTAAAAAACATGTAAACAATTTTTTGCTTTTAATTGAAGAAAATATTTCAATAAGTGAAACCAATCTGTTGTTGAATTTTTTATTATAATTAATAAAAACATTAACTATTGCAACTCTAGATTTTTTTTTACAGGCACTCACATTCCACAACTGTTAAATAAACAATATGAAGGGGAAATAAATAAAAAAAATTAGCATCTATTATCTTTTAAAGCATGAGTTTTGGGGGAAATAAAAAGATAAACAATTACAAATTAATAATTATACAAAAGTGTTAGAATAAATAAATTCATGTTTTAATCATTTAATTTGAAACCATACTCATCATTCTTAGTCTGTAATTTTCTTCAAAAGAGTAAAAGATACAATTAAATGTTTAAAATAGAAAATTTTATATTTCAATTAAATTTTGCTATATTTTTGCTTGAAAATAATTTTTTAAAGTCATTTTTCCACAACTGTTTTCTTTATTATATCAGAAAAATTAAAAAAATTTTATGCCAGAGAAAGATACAGTATTGAAATCAACTTAAAGAGACATCCTTTGATTCTAATGAGTCAACTGAAATGGATTAAGAACCTTACATAAATGATATTAACAAATAGTAAGATTTGAAGTAATGTTGCATAAAAATGTACTTACACATAACTTTACAGAGAGAGAGAGAGAGAGAGAGAAAGAAAGAAAGGGAGACAAGGAGATTATCAAGAGAAAAGATTTTGATTGTGAAAGTTGCTGTCAAGTAATAAGAATGTTGGAAGTACATTGAATAAGAAATACTTGCCTAAATATTTTCTTTGAAGAAAGAGTTGTTCAAGAAATGTGCTGGATATAAGAATTCTTGGTGCTGATGGCAAAAGCCCAGCTTGAGAAGTCTTTCTTATGGCCAGACTGGTTTGTCCTTGCATAAGAGAATGGTCAGATTTAGAGAATGAATAGAGAGAATGAGTATTTTTGACCAAAAAGGTCATTTACGGTTCAACACCTTTTTATGTTTATTAATGTTTCAGCTCACAACTAATAATACAATTTCACTATATTGTTTTCCATTGGAAGGGTGCAAAGAGAGCAAAAGGTGTCATGTTTACTGATAAATTGATAATCAATGCAAGTTTGATATTTAGTATTCTTGAGATTTATTTGTAGTTATTATGAATAAATTAGACTGTTGCCTGTCAATTTGAATGTTAGGAATATACTTTTATTGTTGTAATATCAGATTGTATCCCTTTTGGTCACCATACTTCAAGTGTCTCATATTTAAGTGGGACTTCATTCCATATATAAAAAGGAAAGCCGATTCAATACATATTTAACCTTTGAAATAAGTTGACAGGAAACACACAACTGCTATAAACAAAGATATTTTCCCACTATATTTTAAGTACAAGACAATATTTATCACACACACATATATATATATATATATATATATATATATATACACACACACACACAAATATAGGATTGGTGCATACGGAATAAATTCCAATAACCAACAATTACTATTCTTAAAAGAGTGCTCAATACATAGAGCAGATATAATTATTTATTTAAAAATTATAACAAATATGTTATAAAATCACTACAAAAATAGCCATTTTGTTTCAACACCTCCAGTCTTATACAAGTTATGTATCCAAAATACAAAAGATATTCCTGATCGATTAGATATAGGCAAAAACATCACATGATAGGCTTTGTGAAGTACAAAGCAACAGACATTGACTTTAAAAGATGGCACATATATGTATGTATGATCTGGTCAAGAAATTAATTTGCAAGCATTATAGCTACAACTTAATTTACAGACCAAATGGGTTTTTTCCCTCATATATTCTACTTGTAATATCTGAAAGTGGCTTTTTAGTCTTGATTTTGTCCTGAATAGACAGTTGACCAGATAAATATCTATAGTGAATATTTTGTTTTCCTTGACAGTAAATCGCAAAGAATCTAATCCAATGAAAATTTCAGTGTAATAAAAATAAAACTTGCTTTAGATTTTACTTGAAAAAAAAAAAAAAAAAAAAAAGCTAAAAATAAAATATGAGTTGCACAAAGAAGTTATTTAATTTTAAACAGATTTGGTCCTTTTATTATCATGTGTATCGAGATAAAAAAAAAATCCAAAAAATCAGAAAGGTTGCATTTATATATGTATGGAAATATACAGGTGATTATAAATGTAATGAAATCTAATTAATCTATCATACTTGCTAACTGTAAACAAATCATAATGAATGTAAAACAAAAAGTATATTCTTTGTTTTATTCACCAAGTGTCAGCTATTGTACCTTCTGTACTTTGGGCACTTGTCAAAGTAGTCAGAATTTCTATCCTGTCCCTGTATACATGCACAAAGGAGACTGTTCTCCTACTGCCCATTTGTAAGGGATATCTTGTATGGGATATTCTTATTAGTTAATGTGTTCTTGTAATACTGCTTCTGCCTGTACCACTGAAGTACATGTGGAATTCAATATCTGATCTAGGGATTGAACTCTTAGACATCAAGTGTCTAAATTAAATCCACTAGGTCATTAGACTATGACAATTGGATTGAGAAATTTTAGAACCTTGAATCTAATGCCAGTTCTTTCCTGATCAAAAGATCATGTATGAAGATTACTGATTAATTTTTTTAATTTTTTATTATTTCAAAAAATAAAAATGATTTATTTGGTGGATTAACAATAAAAAAAAAAAATCAACAGTATATGAGCTGGCAACTTTTTCCATGTTTATTAAGTGAAATTTAGCTTTGAATAAAAATATATAAACTAAACCTGTATGTGACTGTTGAAATTGCCAGTAAAACTACTGCATGAAATATAAAGTACCTTCATTACAGCTCTCAAATATCTGACAGAAACAATTCAAGTAAAATTTCATCTGAAATTTAAAGTATGATTTTAGCTCAATAGGAGAAAATATACACATGTCATCTAGTATGGTCAATTATTGAATTTATTTAGAGGCACAAATTTAACATTTTCAGGTTTAATATATGCAAATCAAAAAAATATTATAAACAATATTTTCTATCTGTATGTCACGAAATAATTACAATATTTTTGATAACAAATAGCTGAAGGATATTCTATAAGTAAACTTAATTTTCAATAAAAAAAAAAAAAAAAAAAAAAAATTTTCATTTCATCAATTTGATGTAATTGATGAAATGAAAAATTTTTTATTTTTTATTTATTTATTTTTTTTTTATTTTATTTGATATATTAAACATGTCATAAAATCTCATCTTTGATCTATTTTATGACATGTTCTGGTCTTGTTTGTCCTCAAATATCAAAAGCAATGTTTGATCTGGGAATAAAATAGTTTATTCCCAAGGCTTTTTTCAATTAAACTAGTTTTTAGAAAATCTTTCTCTGATCAGACAATATAAATCTACTAGTGAATCCCAAATTAGAAACTTACTTCAGAGCTTTCTGCAATGGTAAACACTGGCAAAATCATTAGCAAGAATAAATACATAGGAAAGTAAGACTATGTAAAAATAAATTTCACCATGGCCACCAGTTTTTGATTACAAATTTTAAAGGCAAAGACAGATGAATGAAAAAAAGAAGTAATCATCACATTCAAACAAACGTTTATTTATTCACAGAATGAAGTAAATTTGGCTTAACTGATTAATATGAAAATTTAATTTGCACAACTTTATAGAATGAAAGTTGCTAAAGAACAAAAAAAGACTACAGAAATAAATCAGAGTACATACAGAAATATCAATGCAGACAGGCACATGTATATAAAAAACATTTCATAATACATGGATTATTTTTTTAAATTACAAAGTCAACTGGATCAACTAGTGTGTGTGTGCGCACACACACACACACACACACACACACACACACACAGAGTAAAATACTGGCAAAAAGATTTACACGTGAAACAGCTAACCAAAAAGATTTTACCAAAAGCAACTCGAGTAACTTTTCTCATGGCAAAAGTTTAACAGTGCACTTTGTGAACTTCAAAATTTAAGTCTCTGGTAATAGGAATAAAAGAAAATGAGAATTATTTTGCTTCAATTCCAAAATTATATTTAACCTAGCTGCCATCAAATGACTTGAAAATAAGGAAAGTAAACTTTTTTAAAATCAAGAACAAATTTATTTTATAAATTATTAAAAATAGATTTAAAACAAAAATATGTTAAAAATTTTCTTTATATTCCTTGAGAATAACATTTTAGGCTATATATACAAGTACAGTTGGTATGACGTTTGTCTTCTTTCGTAACGGTCTGGTTTAAATTCTCGGTAGTGGATGCACACTGCTGATGAGTCCCAAATATAGGAAGAAATGGCCGTCTAGTGCTTTCTGCATTCTGTTGAGGTTTCTTCTAGACTCGATGAATTAATTATGATTATCTCAAATCCTCCTAATAATTTCTATATCACACACACACAATATATATATATATATATATATATATATTATATATATAGTGGCATGTTGTCAAGGTTTACAATAAGTGTAACAGCTTTTTATAATTATTAAGGCCTAAGAAAATTTGCTGTTACAACATGACATGGGTCAAGTTGAAGATAAGAGTGAATAACTTTGTTTTTAAGAGCATTCCTGTTAAACCAGAAAGAGTCACCTCAAACAGAATTGTTTGCTGATAACCAATGCTATCATGCACCTAAAATTGGTTCTATTAAAAAGTAAAAAAGTGTGGAAATATACTTTAAAAATGGCACAGTATCTAAACCCAAATTCTTATGTTGTTTGGTTAACATGAAAATTAACTTTAGTTTATATAGAATACATGAAACACAGAGTTATGCATCAAAACTTTCTAGTTTGAGAGGTTTGAAAAGAGAGTGAAAAGTATTTTAGCAGACTACATCTGAATATAAATAAGCAAATATTTTTTTTTAAAATTCTTGCATAGTGACTTTATTGCCACTCCAGACATACTTCAGTTATATTCAGCATTATCAAGCTGAGAAAAATATGACTAAATACCAAATCTTGCAATTTTTTATTTTTATTTATTTACATGAAAAATTTAGTTTATTAAATTCTGACATTATATATTGTGCATTAAAAGTGAATGATAAAACTAGTCTTAAGAAACAATAGACAAAAAAAATTATATCACATCATTACTTTAGTTATGAAACACCAGTGAATCAATGAAAAGGAAATATATATATCACACACACAAGTACATGTAAAGTTTACTTCAACTCTATACTTTTAACATTTCCACCAGAACTTTGAAATTTATTTACTAATTTTTTTTAATAGTAGATAGATTCACCTATTGCCCTGTTCACACTCCTTCCCAGTCATTTGGACAAGAGTAGAGGTTTATCTTTTGTTTCATGTTTGGTATTGGCTTTCTGGTTCCTTCTAAATTCTACTTCAACTTTACTTCTAATATCTCTGGCTGAACTAAAATTTTAATTACTAATTTCTCTCTCTCTCAATAGTAGACAGGTTGACCTTTCACCTGGTTCACATTTCTTCTCAGTCTTTTGAACAGAAGTAGATTTTTATCCCTATTTTAGGATTGGGTTTCCAGTTCCTTCTAAAGTTTTCTCATTTTCTTTCACTCCCAGTAGCCTCTTGCATCTTAGTGACATTATCCCCATGCTTGGAGTGAAATGATTAAAAAAAAGTCTGCTGAAAACATATCAATTTTTTTTTTTTTTGTGGGAGAGAAGATTCAGCACTTTTCATGTGCGAGTAATACACACAGATCCAAGCTCATACTGGCAAAGGAGTAATGCAAAATTCTTGACCAAGAATCTCTTAAAAATGCTTGGTTAGATTTTTGGAAAAGAGTTTGGCTAAAATGTTTTTCAGTACCCCCTGTACATGTGTATTGCCTTCTTACTTTCTTGGCACACACAGAGTTAAATGTAGAATGCATTAAAATACAACTTTCAATAACTACTCCAACACCATAGTTTAATGTATCATTATGTATGTAAACAGTGACTGGAAAATTTATCTATTACAACTTATATAAACAACTGATATAGAACATTTTTCATTTTGTACAATTTATTATTTTGGTTTTTCATTCATTAAAAGTGGAGTAGATAATTTATAAAGTAAAATCATCATTAAAGTCTAAATTTAGTAACACTTTATAGCACAAGGAATACAGCCTCTTGAGATGAAAAAAAAAACTGGTCAATTAAAAAGGAAAATTAGTGTCATCTAAGAATTGAAGTTAGGCTTGCTAATTAAACAGAGGATGTAGGCTTGTATTATTTTTCTTCCAGAATAGAGTATCTGTGATTGCAGTATATGAGTGAAGTAATACAGTAACTAATAAATCTTGAATTTCGAGTTTTCATAAAATTAAGTGGGGTTTAAACAGATAATAAAAAAATAAAAAACTTTTACCAAGGATATCTATAATAAAAAAAAATTTCTAAAATAATTTTAGTCCTGAAAGTTTCATTAAAATCTGACAATTATTTGATTTTTGCAAGAAATTTCAAAGTAATGTCTTTCACCACAAAAATAGATGCTAAAATTGCTATACTAATTTATAGTTCATCCACTAATTCAAAAAAAAAAAAACAAAAAAACAAAAAACAAAAAACAAACAAAATACTATGGTCTTCTTAATAAAGATTTTAACAATAAAACCTAATTTTTATCAAGTTTGAAGCATTTTTTTTTTTTTTTTTTTTTTTTTTAAAAAATCACAGTATGTCATTTTTTTTTTTCCATTGATTTTGCAGCGGAACCTAATTTTAAACCAAGATGGATGAGCTGTATATACTTGATAAGATACATTTGAAGGAGAAAAAATTTATAGTAGTTGTGAAGTGTAAAAAAAAAAAAAAAACAACTGGGATCACATTGTTTCTAGTCCAGATGAGCAAAGGTTAAAAGAAAATTTTTTAAAAGTTTTGAGTGCAAATAAAATATTGTTAATTCACTTTAATTTAAATACTTTAGACAAACCAACACCCCACTAAAATAAATAAATGGCTTTGGTTGAACTTTATGGAGACACAAATACTTTGTTAAAAAAGAGGGAGGAGCAAACTAAATTAGTATCATTAGGGAGTGCTGCACAGTTCGTTACCCAACCAAGAAATCTCCGCCATCCAAATTCTGATGTTTGGTCAGATTTTGGGCAGTAGGTAGGACTTTTCAGCACTGTCAAATGATGGGTCAAGCTATTCTGAATTATACATAGATTGTTAAGAGCAGATAATATATTTAATATTTAGCACCTATACTGTTTCTCTTGCAAAAACTAATTAAACTGTTGTAGAGTAGTTTCACAGTGGAGGCTTGTATTTCACTAAGTCGGTCCTAAAATAGGTTCGACGTACAAAACGTTAGGAACTTGATATAGTAGGTAATGATGCAGAGAA